GCACCAGGAGGGGGATGTTATCTACATCCGACCTTGGGCGATCCGGACCTTGAATGTCCCGGGCCCGCAGAGAGGGGAGCCATTTGCCTGGGACAAAGCTCACATTTGAACATGTGTGGCACCATTCTATGCAATGGGTGTCATTTGCCCATATTTTATCGGGAGTGGGTGCCAGGTACCGCTCGCTCCAGCATAAGGCGTGGGCAGCCAGCGTGGTTGGACGGACTCAAAGCAGTCAGGCCCAACAGCTGGTACCATGGGGAGACGAGTGTCTGGGCTCCTCTAATGGCATCGGTAAACCCGATCCGTGAGGTGGTCAGCTGCATGATCTCCGGTCTGCGCTGTGCGCCATACCTCGTGCACAATCCCAATGCGGATGCTGCACAGGTCGCATTTCGAGAGGTTGAAAACGTCACCTCGATGGACACTCACTCGTGTGTGCGAGCGAGTGACGAAGCGCTCGAGCGATGGGTAGCGAAACAGCTGCTCATCGAGGAAAGTGAGACTGGAAACCCAGTGCCTGATGGCTTGACCGTGCTCGCATATCTGATCGACCATCCGCAACACGCGGCGCAGTGGGGCCGTCACATGACGAGGAAGGGCAGTCGGTTCAAAATCTTGGTTGTCTGCTTGGCTGCTTGGCTGCACACCCCTGCAATTGCTAAACCCCCTGCCAGCCCTGAAGGACAAACGGGAGCCTTTCGCCAGCAACCTGCGTCGATTGAAGTCAAGGTATCCATGAACCAAGTTAGGAAGGCTGGTCTTTGCTAACTGCTCACGCATTGCCAAACAGAGTCTGAACATGTCTGACTTCTTGGCTGCAGCCGAAATATCCGGCGCCCGGCATCCATAAAGCTCAGATTTTGTTCTGCACCCGGCCAGCCCCGTCGTTACGCCCCGCGAAAGCCCAGGAATGCGCAGCTTTTTGAAGCAACTTCCCAAGGGAAGGACGGGTGGCTGCGAGAGCTGCTAAGCTGTTGCCTGCACATCACTGCCCGAAATTGAAACTGGCTGGGTGAACCGGAAAATGGCTTCTTGGTCCGCTAGATGTCTCTGCAAACACTTCATTGTCCACACTGATGCTGGATTCTCTTCCTTCAAATCTGCAAGAGCTTTCTAACTAGCGGCCCCAACGATCCATGCTTAAACCCGCATCTGTATCCAACCCTGGACTGGCACACGGCAGATTGGGCAGGGAGCCAACATATTGTTCTCCTCGGAAACTCTTGCCCAACAAGTCTGACAGCAGCAAACGTGTTTGCACGGCATGAGCACGGTGTCTGCCCTCTTCGAGCAGCAAATGGCGCACCGAACTGCAATTTCTAATTCATGTGCCACATGTCTGGCTTTGCGGAGCTCTTGCTTCAGGTCACTTGTTTCTCGCACCAAAGCCAAATTGTCTGCCTCTCTCACCTCACCCACTGTAATCAGCGCCTCCGTGGATTGTCTCACATTAGAGGCGTCCTTCCTGCACACGTCGGCTGCTTCAATTGCCTCAGCCGCTGTTTCCTCAAGCACTTGCATCTTGCCTTGCAGTTGCTGCTTGGCCTCCAGAAGGTCATGTGCGTAGCTTGGCTTCAGTGTTTGCCGCGCTTCCACTATGCTCTTCACTCTCCGTGATCGAGGACCGCCGTCTTGAGCCTCCAAAAAGAATGGTCTGCCTGCCATGGCCTGCCCACATTCGATCAGGAACTTGTTGCGCGCCTGGCCATTCAACATCCAACAACAACATCAACCCGCGTCCCTCACCAGGCAATTTGTTGCGCCTGGGCTTCTGCATATTTGAATTGGCGCTTGCGAATGCGAGGGGTACGAAGCTCCACCCTGCCATACGGGGAAGGCGGGCAATCATCACACATGCGCAAGCTGGGCAATCATTCCACATGGGGAAGCGGAGTTGCGTGCCCAAACCCCGTGCCTATGTGCACAAGCCCGTTCATGTGCTTGGTGCGCCGCCACGGTGTCCATGACAACGCCGCAGCGCCGGCATGGGAAATACAGCCAGCCTTGCAGCTCAAGAAAGCAAGGGAAAAAACCAACATCGTACACTGGCGCCTGTGGAGATCATGTTCGCGGCAGGGAGAGAGCCAAAATGCTCCCAGCATGGAACGGCATACTTGCAGTTGCGTGGCTGTTGCTGTTGCTGCTGTTGTTGTCGTAGTGCCAGGAAGCGGGTAAGTCTCGACGCGGTACGCAGGGTGGCAAAGAACCGGCTTCCCGTTTATGAGACCAACTACTCAACGATCAACCGAACTGTAATATCCTGTGATTCGGGCACAAGCCCGTGCCCAGGCGAAGGGAGTTGGGGTAAACAAACTCAACAGGGAAAGAAACACAGCGAACCAGAAACCGGGACCCTTATTAACCCCAGTCCGGTAGGCGAGCGCAAACCCTGTTTTGGTGTTGGGCATTGAATCTTTGGAATCTTGAGCCAAATGCAAATTGGCATTCGACTTGTCTCAAACTTGCAATCAACGGGGCCTCTAACATCACATGCATGCACACCCTTCTGGGGTACCTCTTTGGGGGTCAAGGGGTCGTGATTATTCAACTCCCCCCTCCCCGTGCTCATTAAGAGACTTGTACTTTACAGTCGCGCTTGAGCTGCGACCCATGTGATGCAAGGTCCTTTACCAGACCAATAAGAAGGCTTACCTATGATTTCTGCACTTTTGTTACCGCTTGGTCATCTCAGGCCGGACATCTTTCAACTTTTCGGGCAAATTGGTTCTGATGCCCAAAAGCTTGAGAGCGTGGTCCCAGCTGCAGTGCTTTTGTGAAGATGTCGGCTGCCTGGAGATCGGTTGCTACATACTTGATCACTTCGCCCGTGCCGGGTTCAAGTTGCTCAGCAAGTGCGGACAAGTTCACTGTGCCGCATTTTTGGGGAGTAACCTTTCTTGGTTATCTTCGTGTAGCACCAGCTCAACCGGGCGTCCAAGCAAACGTTCCCACAAGGTCAAAGAGGGAAGACCCTCTTGATACAAGGAGAATGTGAGTGAAACGACCTCGGTGGATCTGGACACTGATACCAGCTGACGATCATCTTCAGGAGGAAGTGATCCGTCTCAGTTCCTGGTACACTGCGGGTGCACCGGCTTCATCTGTTGTGAACACGATGCGCCCTTTTACCTTTTGGAGGTGCTGAGCTGGTTGGGACAACTAGCGCGTCCTGATATCATCAAGCCCTCTCGCAACCACGAAAGGCAACTCGCCCGTCTCATCGCGTACATCCACTCGACTACGCACTACCGGTTGGTAGGTGTCATAAAGGACAACCCGCAAGATCTTCACCTCGCTCTGTATGCGGATGCCGACTATGCTGGAGAAAGGGATGCGAAGTCCACGTCCGGTGGCTTCTTGGTTCTCAAAGGACCGAACACCAATTTTCTTTTAGCGTGGTTGAGCAAACGACAGACCCGGACAGTTGAACTATCCCATACTCCGACGTCTTGGAGTCCGGTCGCCTCCTGCTTGATTGCTTCCAATGCTTCAGGAAGGACTGGAACAACAGGCATTGCTTGAACCGGAGTCCTACACACTTTGGGATACAACGCTTTGGCGATCAAACCACACATTTGCTCAGGCTAGAATGCAGTGCGGGAGGTTCGGCTCCGTGCTGGAGTATGTTTTTGCGGACTTTGAGTGCGGACACTGGCGGTCATCCCCCCCTGTTGTAGTTTTGATGCGCCAAGGCTTCTTGATGGGTGAACCATTTTCATCCGTCAAACCAACAGCACAGCCATGAAACGAAACACCATGGAACACATCCTTGTGACACTCAAAAAACTCGGCAACATCTGGCCTCTGCCAGCCTTCGCAGTCACGCGGCCACTCGAAAGTGACTGATCCACCAGCTTTCAAAACATGCTCGGCGTGCAATGCAAACTTTGAAAACATCACTTTGGATCGCTTGACTTTTTCCCCTAACTTTTTCTTGAACGGCTTGCCTAGCCTGTGGAGGTTCAGCCTCTGCCAAGGTGATCCTGAGACACATGGAATGGCTGCCCACAAGTTAGGTTGGACGCACTGCGAGAGTTGATACGCGAGCTGCTCATCCGCAACGGCTGACTCTAAGTCAATGTACTCCTTTGCTAATCGGACATGTGGGATGTTGAGATCCTTGAACACATTGCCCATTGAGGAATTAGGTAAACAAGCAAATTCAAACATCGGGCCAACAGCATGACGCGCTAGGCGCTTGCGAGCACGCTTGTCGCCAACAGGTAAACGGAGGGCGTTCATCGCCCCCCTGAAGCTGGCAAGGGTTTCTGAAAACGGATGGCTTCTCTTTCGTGGTCTCGGAAAGTGTTGTGCTGGATGCGGTTGACACGGCGACGGCTGCTCCTGAGCTGACTGGGATGTTACCCTCGTGAGGACTGAGCCCCCCTGCTGCGCTTAAAGCTGCAGCCGAATCTATATAACATAACCTAAAAATGGTTGTGCCAGTCCAGAGCACAGGGAGTTCTCGATGTGCTGAGAATCTGCCTGCCCAACCATCACTGATATCTTCCTTGCTACCATCCTGCTGGGACACAACGCGAGTTGTCCTACCGGGTGTGATTCTGCACACTGACACAGGACAATCACCGACATCCTTAGGAGTGAAAAGTTTAATCCTAGGCTGATGATGCACGCGGATTAACACGTTACCACCAGGCTTATAAACCCATTCATCCTTCTTGGTTGATGCGGGGACAGCGTCGGTATGCGGAACACTGGGCCGAGAACAGGCGGCCAAGCAAGGCACGGACAATATCGGGGTCTCCCTCCCCAGGCGCCTCAATCTCTGCGGGGGGTTCCAGGGAAGACGCCTTTGCAGCGCCTTGGTTTGCGGGCAACACGCATTGAGGTATTCTTGACGATGTTGCAGGTCTTGCAGAAGGGATTCTTGCGGAAGTGAGTCCGTTGGTGTTCCGGTGAACTGGCTTCGGCTCGAAGCCACGGTTCATCACGAAGCTCACAACCTTCTCCAAAATCGACAAGTTTGCGCTCGTCGTCAGGATGTTCAGGCACCGCTGGGGCGGGTGCAGGAGGTGCTCCAACAGGTGGTGGCAGATCCGGGGGCTCGGCCGGAGGCCTTTCCTCCGGAGCTGCCATGGCTGGCTTTTCGTTGCGCATTAAGCTAGCAACCTTAATCTCTGGCAAAGCCTACCGGTGTGTTGGTCTTGCGTACGCAATGCATCATGGTGCTGTTCAAAGCCTGCTTACCGATGAGGTGGCGACCAGCGGTGTCCCATAGCCAGCTGATGCTATTGTTCCTGGCGGGGACACTTGGGACTGCTGGGACTACGGCGGCAACGGCGGCCGGGGCCTTCGATCTCGGGGTGAGATTAGAAGGGGTCGTGTTTCCCTTGTTTGCATTTTGTGACTTCGGAGGAGGCGGAGGCTTAGGGTTAAAAGAACTTTTTCCTTTAGGCGCAGGAGCAGCTGGGGTGCCGCCTTTATCCTGCCCTTGATCCCCTCACTTTTCTTGTTCTTCTTCTTCTTCTTCTCCTTCTTAGTCTCTGCTGGTAAAGCGCTGGTAGCTGCTTCCTTGCCCGTGCCACGAACAGCCGGTTTGAGCTTAACATCCTGATCAAACTCATCGCAGTTGCGCTTTTGCTGGGCAAGCTCAATGGCCAGATCTGCCTTTGCCCAAAACCATGCACATGCGCGGCGGTGACTATGATGGCGGACTCACGGGCCTTCTCAACGCGATGCTTCATTATGGGGCACTTCTCAAACTCGTCAATGAGATGATTGAAAAGAGTTCTTTCCTTGGGGCGCTCATCAAGAGGTATCGCACGGAATGCCTTCTCACGGAATGCCTCGATGTCTGCTACTGACTGGCCGGCAAGCTTCACCTAGAAGATTGCGTTCTCCAAGGACGCCGATCCGGTCGCGCTCCAGCTGAAAATGCTTGAAGATCGAGCGCAACATCACGCACCCATTGGGCATTGTACCTGCGGTGTTCCGTTCGTGCTCCACCATGTTTTGGAACAACAACCCAAACTTGCCTTTGCGACAGGTTTTCAACAGCTTGGCGGCTATCTCAGTTGTGCGTGGGAAACGTTTATCTGCCCTGAGTTGTTCCTCGGATGAGGTCAGGCAATCCTGAGCCAACAGATAGAGCTCGTCATTGGTCGTCTTTTGCAAACGTCAGGACTTGATTCACGTACCCACACGCCTGACCGGCGTTCTCTGGCGGAAGCGGAAGCACTAAATCCTTAAAATCCTTGATGCTCCTCATATGAGGCCGGATCTGACGCGCTTGTAGCAGCATCCCCGGGTATGACCCTTGTCACCGGATTCTGAGGATGTGTCGGAGCTTGCCTTGAAGGTGCGAGTGGGAAGGATGGGAATTGAGCCACTTGACTTGTTTACTTGCACTTGTTGGCCTAAGCGTGGGGACAGCAGTTGTGTGCTGGGCAGCTACGGAAGGTGGGGTGCCTGAGCCGATGCGATCGGGGGCGAAGCGCCTGATACCCCGACCTGGGCCTCAACTAACTTTGAAAGTTGATGGACCAGCTCAATTAAAGAGGACATTTGTGCCTGTACGTCTACAGGTCCCCTTAAATCCTGGGTCCGAGCGACATCCGGTGGTCCTTGTGCACGTGGACCACCATCCTGGATTTGCACACGCTTGCCATCTGACTTGATGTCGGGCTGTGGGGGGGCGAAGGATTTTCATTCCTGTGTATGTCACTTAGAACGGAGCACGCCTCCTTTTTCACTCGCCGGCCCGATGCAATGCAGTTCCAAACCCTACCATAGGGATTTGCTTTGGGATCTGTCAGGCCTCTCCTCCTGACAGACAGATGCTTTTGGCATCATGGTCAGAGACCCTTTGTGGACACCCTGTCCAGGAATCTCCCCTATGCCAAAAACATCAGCGCGCCCTGCGCACACCCCAGCCCAAAAAAGTCGCGGGCCTTCAAACGGAGAGATTACCCGAATGTCGGGTCCCTCTGCAGGGTGGGTGGGTGGGACTTTAAAATAGCCACTTTTGGATCAAGGCCACTTGAGTCCAAGACACCAAGGAATGATAAATGCATACCCAAGCCTACCAAACTCAATGCATTCACACATTCCTGTGTGTGTCACTTAGAACTTAG